CGCCGCCGGGCTGACCTGCCGGACTTGAGATGGCGAACGTGCGGGTGGCCGTGAGGGTCCGGCCCCTCAGCAAGAGGTGAGTCTGGGCGGGAGGGGGCGCCTGAGGCGTCAAATGAGCTGAGAGGGGCGCGAGGACCCCGCCTCTCCCTCAAGAGATTCCGGCGGGGAGAACTCAGACACAAAGTGACCCGGGGGCTCAGGGTCCGGAAGCCGGGGAGGCGGGGCGGGACAGGGCCTCCCGCGAGCTTTCGCGTCGTGCCCTGGGGAATAGCGGTTCCTGGACGGCCTCAGGGGAGGGCTGCCCAGTGCGCGCGCCCCTGGCGTCCTGCCAGCCGAAGTTTCGAGGGACCGACCGGTCTGGGCCTTTCTCAGTGGACACGTCGAGAGAGAAAGGCTGCAAGGGACGGGCAGCCCTCTGTGTCTTCCTGGTGGCTTTGGAGTACCCGTGAGGACTGAGGCCGAATGGTTGTGTGTTTCTCGATGCACAGGGGTTTCTCTGAGAAGATGCGGAGAAAGCAGATTAAGACGGGAGAGGGGAAGTTGGGGCCCACAGAGATCATGGTTTCATTCTGTGCTCCGCCGCTGACTTGATCAAGGACAGAACTGCGAAGGAGAAGTTATTCTAACGCTTTCCTTCCCTCAGCGTCCTCATGCCCATTTCTTCACGTTAACCGCACCCTGCACCTCTCATTTCAGCCCTTGAGACATCCAGTGTGCAGCCACATAGTGTCTTCTCTTTCTCACTGATTTTCCATCATATGTTTGGAAAGTCAGGGACGGCTTTGTAGAAGGATTGGTATTTGAACTGGATGTGTTTTAAATCGCTCCTTCATTTAGAGTTTGCTGACGGGTGGAACAGAGATGAGTTTTGGTGGGTGTAGGGGGAAGATTGGTGTGAGGGGTGGGAGTGATAGGAGATAAATCTGGCAGAGTGTGGTTTGGGACCAGAAGGCGCTTATTGGAATTATTGGGGAAGTTTAAAATTTTCCAGGACTTATGTCTGTGCAGGGTGAGGAATAAAAAAATTCTAGGACAAAAGCTGGCTTGGTAATTGGGCAGAAGGATCATGAAAGGCATTGTTTCCATACCAAAATTTGGTACTAGTGAGATTTTGTTTGTCCTCATAGAGAGGTGATGGCTTTGAAAAGTCTTGTAATTGGCAGAACAATGAGAAAAGCAATGAGACTGGAAAGAAACGAGTTAAAGATAAAAGAAAATAGGAAAGTGGCAATAGAGAGGTTCAATGAAGAAAGAAGGAAAGCAGGTACCCGAACTTTTTTTTTTTTTTTTGAGTTGGAGTCTCACTCTGTCACCAGACTGGAGTGCAGTGGCATGCTCCCGGCCACCGCAGCCTCAACCTACTGGGCTCCGGCGATCCTTCCGCTCAGCCTTCCAAGTAGCCGGAGTTACAGGCATGCGCTACCACGCCCAGCTGATTTTTTGATTTATTGCAGAGATGAGGTCTTGAACCCACATTTTTTGATTGACAATGGCTATGACTTCTGCATAACTGGGTGTGGTGACTCAGGGCTTAGGGGTTTTCATAAGTGCAGCTGCTTGCTACCCTGGAGGTAGTCTCTGATAGATGCTGTTTTTGCAAAACAATTCTTTCAGGGTTCTTAGGATAGCAATATTGACCATTTCTTTCTTTCTTTCTTTTTTTTTTTGAGTCAGATTCTCACTCTGCCACTCAGGTTGAAGTGCAGTGGCACGCTTATCACCACGACAGCCTTGAACTGCTGGGCTCAGGTGGTCCTTCTGCCTCAGCCTTCCAAGTAGCTGGAACTACAGATACTTGCCATGACTCCCAGCTAGTTTTTTTAGTTATTGTAGAGATGAGATCTCTCCAAGTTGCCCAGGCTGGTCTTGAATCCCTGGGCTCAGGCAATCCCCTAGCCTTAGCCTCCCAAAGTGCTGAGATTATAGGTGTGAGCCACCTTGCTCAGCTCAATATCGACCATTTCTAACAGAAACTTCTCAGTTCCTTGGAAACTAATAATTTATAATAGCATGGATTGTATTTAGAAAAAATTTTTTTGAGTTGGAGTCTCACTCTGTTGCCCAGGCTGGAGTGCAGTGGCATGCTCATAGCCATCACAGCCTCAATCTGCTGGGCTCAGGTGATCCTTCTGAGCCCAGGTTTCCAAGTAGCTGGAACTACAGGAACATGCCACCATGCCCGGCTAGTTTTTTTCTTTATTGTAGAGATGAGGCCTTGCCAAGTTGCTCAGGCTGGTCTTGAACCTGTGGGCTCTGGGCTCAGGCAATCCTCTCACCTCGGTCTCCCAAAGTGTTGGGATTATCGACGTGAGCTGCTGCGCCTGGCCGGATTAGATTTTTAAAAATGATGCCAAATTGAGTTATTTGCAGCCAGTAGAGAATAACATATTTCTCAGACAAAAGTGAAGGGAAAAGAAGAGCACAAAAAGCTATTTAATTTTAGGGAAAGTTATGAGCATTGAGCAGCAAGTGGTAGAATACCAAAATTGCACATATCCAAGTGTGAGCAGATTATAGCAGGCTGAAGATTCAGGAGCAGATATGAATAAACCCAGTGTGACTTCAGCTAAGTCCAGACCACTCTCCTTTTCTAACAAAATCCTGCAGAGATGGCAGCTATACTCCAGGGTGTGTTAACTTCTAATGTCTTTGCTGAGGTTCATCTGAATTTGGGGAATCTGCTGATTATGTGGTTTATTTCAACCTTCAAATAAGTCATTGGCACAGTTTAGTTAGCAAAGTCATTGGATCTGATGTTATACTTGGGAAGGAATCTTAGAGGTGATCTGGTCCAAGCTTCTCTTTTTTGTTTTTCCAGATGAGAAAATGGTCTTACTTAAGTTCTAAAAGTAGGTGGAGCCAAGATTTGATTTACCAGGCCACACTGCTCCTTCCTGAGATTCAGAAAAGTTGCACTTCTTTCTGAGATGCCCATTAATTCAGTAGGACTAGAACTCACTCTCAGTAATGTGATAATACTGTAGGAACTGGTTTGATGTCCTCTCCTCTATCTCATAGAGGAGATTATTTCCCATAATCAGAAATTCCGTATCTCGTTATGAGATGCTGCCCCTTGACTCCAAATCATTCACCATTGAGAGAACACTTCCAGTCTGCCAATACTACCATAGGCTTTCTTTTTATTTTGTTTGTTTGTGTTTTTTTTTTTGAGTTGGAGTCTCACTCGGTCACCCAGGCTGGAGTGCAGTGGTACGCTCACAGCCACCCCAGCATTGACCTGGGCTCAGATAATCCTTCCACCTCAGCTTTCCAAGTAGCTGTAACTATAGGCATGCACTACTAGGCCTGGCTAATTTTTTGATTTATTGTAGAGATGAGGGCTCACAATTTTGCCCAGGCTGGTCTTGAACCTGTGGGCTCAGGCAATAATCCTCTTGCCTGGGCCTCTCAAAGTGCTGGGATTACAGGCTTGAACCACTGTGCCCAGCTTTACCATAGGCTTTGGAGCACTCCTCACAGTCCTGTCAAAAACTTACTTTTCACACACAACATAGCTTTTCTATTATTCTTTGTATTAAAAAAAAAATCTGTAAGTAGGCACAACTACTTCAATGATTTATTGTAGAGGTGAGATCTCGCTGCCCAGGCGGGTCTTGAACCCGCGGGCTCAGGCAATCCACTCACCTCAGCCTCCCAAAGGCGCGGGATTACAGGCTGAGCCACCGAGCCCGGCAAGTTGAACTCTTTAAGGCCAGCTCTCTAATTGAGGTTAGCACCCTTTCTGTTTTGTTCTATTTTAATTAGCTCTCATTTTGTTCTAGAATATTTTGGAGCCACTAGGTTACCAATAGCAGTGGTCAAGTTCAGAGGTCAAGTTCAGGATACTTTTTCTTTTTGCTGCTGTATGCCGGAGAGACCCAGATTAATCCTCACAAAAGGGCAAACTTAAACAAAAAATCAGATAATAGATTTGAAAAATTTATTGTGTGATGTTTTTCTTTATTGTTCAAATTTATTGTAACATGTATATTAATTTTATAGAGGGTGGAGCAATAGTAAAACCAACATTAAGATGCAGAAAGGAAAAAAAAAGTTATCTTGTAAAATGTTAACACCAAAGATGAAATATTTTCTTTAGGAGAGCTTAAGTCTGGGGGGAAGATGAGCAGTTTTAACTTCTGATGAACAGATTACCATTTTGGGGGAATAAGAATATTTCTTCTGCTATAAGTACTATCTTATATGAAATAGACAAGAAACTATATCAGGGCCTTGAGGAAATTTAACTAACAGAAACATTACCTGGGAGAGGGGAAGTTTCTATCCAGGGCTTTATCCCAGACTGACAAATTGAAAAAATAACCTTGGTTGGGTGCAGTGGCTCACGCCTATAATCCCAGCACTTTGAGAGGCTGAGGTGAGAGGATTGCCTGAGTCCACGGGTTCAAGACCAGCATGGGCAACTTAGTGAGACCTCATCTCTATAGTAAATAAAAAAATTAGCCAGGTGTGGTGTCACATGCCTGTAATTCCAGCTACTTGGAAGGCTGAGGGAAAGGATCACTTGAGCCCAGCAGGTCAAGGCTGCAGTGGCTGTGAATGTGCTTCTGCACTGCAGCCTGGGCAAAAGAATGAAATTCCAACTCAAAAAAAAAACCAACCTTAAATCTTAAGACTCCTGTCTCACTGTGCGCCCCCTATTCCCAGTCCTCTAGGTCATAGCCTGGGAAGCCTAAGGAAGGATAAAAGTGAGACCAGTCTGGGAGAAATTTAACTGATAACGTCAATTGTAGTGGAGGATGTGCTAATAAATTTAATTCTCATCTATTAACATTTTGGTGAAGCTTTATGTTATGAACAAAGATGGGTATCCGGTATATGGGTCACTTGGAATAAGTTCATTGAAATGAATGTAGAAGTTGGTTAGTTGTTAGCAGTTTTACTACATAACTGTAACACAGGAAGAGCCTTATTTATTTATTTATTTTTGAGTTGGAGTCTCACTCGTTGCCCAGACTGGAGTGCAGTGGCCGCTCCCAGCCACCGCAGCCTCGACTTGCTGGGCTCTGGCGATCCTTCCGCCTCAGCCTTCTGAGTAACTGAAACTACAGGCATGCGCCACCACACCTGGCTAATTTAAAAAAAATTTTTATTGTAGAGATGAGGTCTCGCCAAGTTGCCCAGGCGGATCTCAAACCTGCAGGCTCAGGCAATCCACTCACCTCAGCCTCC